CCCAGCTACTCAGGAGGCTGAGTAGCTGGGATTACAGGCACGTGCCACCATGCCCAGCTAATTTTTTGTATTTTTAGTAGAGACGGGGTTTCACCGTGTTGACCAGGATGGTCTCGATCTCTTGACCTCGTGATCCACCCGCCTCGGCCTCCCAAAGTGCTGGGATTACAGGCTTGAGCCACCGCGCCCGGCCTCAGCCAGTTTTTTTTTAAGACAGTTTCGCTCTTGTTGCCCAGGATGGGGTACAATGACGAGATCTCGGCTCACCCAAAACCTCGGCCTCCCAGGTCAAGTGATCCTCCTGCCTCAGCCTCTTCAGTGTCTGTGATTACAGGCATTTGCCACCACACCCAGCTAATTTTGTATTTTTAGTAGAGATGGGGTTTCTCCATGTTGGTCAGGCTGGTCTCGAACTCCCGACCTCAGGTGATCCAGCTGCCTCAGCCTCCCAAAGTGCTGGGATTACAGGTGTGAACCACCATGCGTGGCACACCACTGGTTTTTAGCCCTTTTTGTTTTGGGGGGGTATACAGAAACTGTGAGACTGTGATGAATGCTCTAAATCCCCTGAAAAAAACGTGCATGTGAATATGTACTCTCAACATTTAAAACAAGATTTCAGAAGGCTCTTGGAAGTTCCAGTGTCCACCTATGAATCCTCAGCTAAGAATCCCTGCTTGCTGTCCTGTAACAGCTGTGGCAACAGCACCTGAATTTCAGAAGCAAAAGGCCAGGTGCAGTGGCTCACACCTGTAATCCTAGCACTTTGGGAGGTGGAGGTAGGAGGATTGCTTGAGCTCAGGAGTTCACTACCAGCCTGAGCAACATAGTGAGACATAATTTAAAAATTAGCTTGATGTGGTGGCATGTGCCTATGGTCCCAGCTACTCAGGAGGCTGACGCAGGAGAATCGCTTGAATCCAGGAGGCGGAGGTTGCAGTGAGCTGAGCTGGTGCCACTGCACTCCAGCCTGAGTGACAGAGCGAGACCCTGTCTCAAAAAAAAAAAAAAGGAAATAAAGGAATGGCAGAGCTTTGGCTCATTCAGAGACACATCCTTGGGGACTGCCACAGGAGCCATGTCTCTGCCGTTTGATGACCTGGAGCACTGTCCCTCCTTACTTTTAACATGAGAAAGAAAACAGGGTTTAGCAGGATTTGCATTGTAACAAAGAGGAATTTTCTCCCGGTAAAAGAAATAGAACAGGCCATATTATCCAACGTATATAAATGTGTTTTAAAGTAAACAAGGTTTTACCTGTTCTCAACAGCTCCCTTGCCCCCACCTCCCAGGCCCGCTGCTCAGGTGCTCACATGGGTCTCACTGTGGCCTCCCCCAACCCCACCACTTGTTCCCTCTCCACCAGGGCCAAGGAGGGCTTCCTGATATCTGCAGCCTAGCCTCATCCACCTCCATGGTAAGCTTGTTCAAGGCTGGCGGATGTGGAGGTGCACACGGGGGGCCTGGAGCCAGCAGGTGACCTGTAGCTGCCCAAGTGAGATGGGCTCTGTGGCCCCAGTGAGAAAATTGTGAGATGCTGGAGGAACCTGGGACCAGGGATGTAGGGCATGGTGGGCATCAGATGTAGGGCTGAGGGCCCCACAGTGTCGTGGGGTGAGCCTTATGCTGTGCTGAGGCGCAGGATCCGAGAAATAAAGAGACAGGACACAGAAGTACAAAGAAAATGCAGCTGGGCTCTGGGGGCCATGCCACCTATAAGCGGAGTCAGGCGAGGCCCCGAATGTCTAGAAGCGTGAGTATTTGTTGTGTGTAGGTTAGGGGGCAGGGCAGTGAAATCATCATTAAGGATAGTGATAGGGTCGTGAGCAATAAAACATAGGGTCCATCCCCATTAGGTCACCTAGGCCAGGAGGTGGACAGTGTGCAGCAAGGAGCCCGTTCGCCGTGTGCAGTAAGGGGTCCACCCCCATTAGGTCACCAAGGCTTGAAGGTGGGCTGTGCACAGTGAAGAGGGTGCAGTGTGCGATACTTCTATCTATGGGCAAACTACTTCTTTTTTTTTGAGACGGAGTTTCACTCTTGTTACCCAGGCTGGAGTGCAATGGCGCGATCTCGGCTCACCGCAACCTCCGCCTCCTGGGTTCAGGCAATTCTCCTGCCTCAGCCTCCTGAGTAGCTGGGATTACAGGCATGCGCCACCATGCCCAGCTAATTTTTGTATTTTTAGTAGAGACGGGGTTTCACCGTGTTGACCAGGATGGTCTCGATCTCTTGACCTCATGATCCACCCGCCTCGGCCTCCCAAAGTGCTGGGATTACAGGCGTGAGCCACCGCGCCCGGCCTGGGCAAACTACTTCTAAGAAAATTTATAGGAGGATGCTTTAAGTCACATAGCAGTGACAAAGCTGTCAAGGTTACCGCCACCTTCTGGCAGCTTCCAGTGGGTTCTATGGGAAGATGCTTTTCGAGCAGCACAGGAGCAAGAGCGGATAAAGTTCACAATCACCAAGGTGGATTGCCGTTCTGAGGGCAGCCTTCCACAAGAACTGGAGCAAGGTCCTACAACTCCTTTATCAGGAGGAGTGGCTCTCGCCCCAAGCCTGCCATACAGCGGGTATCTTTACGATACTGAACGCTGCCGCCTGGGCCATGGATTCTTGTCCTGGTATAACTGTTTTCCCTTAAATCATGCTCTGCACTGTGTCTGCTGTAGGCATTCCTCCGATTATAAGCTGCTTATTCCTTAATTCATGCTCTGTACTCTGTCCACTCTAGGCATTCCTCCGATTATGAACTAAGATATAATTATAGGTATATATGTAGGGAAATATTCTTTAGGCACTCATACTATCAACTATTATATGATTATATAGAGAGGATTATATAAAGGGATTCTTCAAGCCCTATTTCTATAAACTAATAAATGATTATGTAAAGGATTATATAAAAGGAAATAGCTGAGTAGTAACACTATAAAGTGAGATATTCCTCAAGCCCTAACTGTGCCAGGGTTCTGCTTAGCTCTCATTCCTCGGTGCCTATATGGGGGGTTACCCACACAGGGAGTGCTGTCAGCCACTGTTATTTCCTTTTGCAAAACAAGATTACAGGGAGAGTTAAGATGTCCTGGCAAAATCCAGATACCGGATTAGACCTGAAGAAACAAGATTCATCATCCTGGTCTCACCACAAAGCCCAAGATGCTGCAGCGGAGGAAGGCCCCATCAGGGCTGCCTCCCCCAGGCCCGGCTGTGGTGTGCTGGGCAGCCCCACATCCCCACTCAGCCAGGCCCCCAGCAGCTTCTGTTTGGACTGAGGTATGTGTATGGGGGGACACCTGATTGAGAAGTGTGAGAAGGGCCCTGAAGTCCTCACGTGGCCTTGGGCAAGTCACTCTGCTTGCTAAACCCTGTTGACCTCACCTGGAAAATGGGAGAACTGCTTAATGGCTCTGAAGGCATTTTTTTTTTTTTTTTGGAGACTGAGTCTTGCTCTGTCACCCGGGCTGGAGTACAGTGGCACATTCTTGGCTCACTGCAACCTCTGCCTCCTGGGTTCAAGTGAGTCTCCTGCCTCAGCTTCCCAAATAGCTGAAACTAACCTAATTTTTTTTTTTTTTTTTTTTTTTGAGACAGAGTCTTGCTCTGTCGCCAGGCCCCAGGCTGAAATGCAGTGGTGAAATCTTGGCTCACTGCAACCTCCACCTCCTGGGTTCAAGCAATTCTCCTGCCTCAGCCTCCTGAGTAGCTGGGACTACAGGCGTGCGCCACCACGCCCAGCTAATTTTTGTATTTTTTAGTAGAGACAGGGTTTCACCACATTGGCCAAGATGATCTCAATCTCTTGACCTCGTGATCCGTCTGCCTCTGCCTCCCAAAGTGCTGGGATTACAGGCGTGAACCACCTTGCCCGGCCTAATTTTTCTGTATTTTTAGTAGAGACAGGGTTTTACCATGTTAGCCAGGATAGTCTCAATCTCCTGACCTTGTGATCCGCCCGCCTCAGCCTCTCAGGGTCTAAAGGCATTTTTACAAGCACAGGGTTCCAGACTCAGTCCTCTGCAGTCTGTCACCCTCCCAAATCCCTCTCCCACGGCTCTCAGCACTGCAGGCCTGGGTTGCCTCCTCCCCTCTCCCCAGCACAGCTGAGGGTCTCACCCTCCTGACATACCTTCAAAACATAAGCCAAAACAGAAAACTGTCAAGAGTGCTACTGAAAACAAGGTTTTAATAAAATAAAAAGTTCAAGTGCTTCCAATCCCCCAACATACCCCTTTCTGGTGCGGGGGTGGGGAGGGAGCCCCCCCACCCCAATAGCACCAGGGATAGCACCATAGAAAGATGAGGTCGCACCCGGCCTCCCTGAGACCCATGGGGGTGGTGAGGAGGACGTGCCCCCAGACATCCCCCACCCTTCCCCCTACCGCAGACAGCTGCAGAACCGAGAGCGAACCCAGTCCCCTTCCTGGGGCAGTCTCTGGGGAGTGCTACCCCTAGGTCAGTTCTACCTCCTCCTGAAGCCTGGACTTCTGGGGAGACGCCATGGGTGGCCCCTGCCCCCTATGGCTTTGCTCCCTGGGGAGGAAGGGGTTGAGGGAGTCGGGTGGCTCCTGCAGTCCTGAGGCTGGGGCAGGGGTGGGGAGGGCAGCAAATGGCCAGGGCTTCCTGTGGGGGCGGGGGTGGCTCAGGGGTCAGCAGTCACAAAGGGTCAGGGGTCAGCTCCCTGGGGGTATCCACACCAGCCCTGCTCCAGGGTCAGAGCTGTGTTGGGGTCAAGAGTCAGCTCCCTCACAGAGGCCCAAGGGCTCCTTCTGGAGGTCCTGGGGTGGCTAGGAGAGAGACCCTCCCTCCCTGCTGGGCATCCCCGTCCAGTCTGTCACAGCGCTTCACCGTCGACATCCAGGTCGATGGAGCCGTGGCTGACCACCAGCCGTAGGCGCTTGGGTGGGGAGAAAGGGGCGAAGGCAAGGGCTTGTTTCGGGATCAGGATGGGGGGGCCTAGGGTCCCAGCAGGGGCTGGGGTGGCTGGTGGGGTTGGGGCCAGGCGGTGAAGGTTCACACGCACCACGTAAGGCAGCCCATAGTGCCGGGCCCAGTGCCAGTCATGCTGGGGGCCCCAGTGGGTGAGGGGAGGCTGGCCCAGGGCCACCAGGACCTCTCCTCCTAGGCGGCAGTGGGGGCCACAGCCTCCCCATTGGTGCAGGGAGACTCGGGCATTGTAAGGGGTGGACAGCACTGGGGCCCTCCGGGGCCGGGGGCGTCGGCGCTTCCGGGGCCGCACTCGGGGCTGGGGCTGAGGCAGCCACTGGAGCCAGAGGGGAGAGGTGTCTGGGTGGGCACTGCAGGGTGGCAGGCGCAGGGGCTGGCAGGCAGCTGTGAAGGCCCAGGTGACAGGGAGGAGAAACACAGGAGAGGCAAAGTCAGTGCAAGCAGGTACTCCCCAGAACAAGGAGGCAGCTCTGTCCCGCGCTGCCCAGAGGAACATGCAGGCAGAACTGCACAACAGTGAGGCCTGCCCACACCACCCCCTCCCAGGCAGAGCTCAGGAGATAGGAGACAGGTTAGCAGGAGTGGATGGGGAGGGGCTGCCGGGACGGCCAGGAGGGGCGCTCACCGCAGAATGGGTCCCGGCGCAGTGAGGACAGGTGTGTGCAGGCCCGAGGGCCCCGCAGGCCCTGCCAGCTGCTGCTGTCCAAGCCTTGTTGCAGCCGCCGCTTGGTCTCACGTAGCTGGTACTTGTCCAGGGGCCGTGGTGGCAACGCAGGCTCCCTAGGCCTCGTTCGGAAAGCTCCTTCACCTTTCCTGGGAGACCGGGTGAACGGGAGCTGAGGCCGAGTGAAGGGAAGGTGAGGCCAAGTGGAGGGAAGAGAGGCCGGGTGGAGGAAGGGGAAGCCGGGTGGAGGGAAGATGAGGCTGGGTGGAGGGAAGATGAGGCTGGGTGGTGGGGAGGTGAGGCCAGGTAGAGGGGAGATTCAATGCTGGGGTTGGACGCACCCAGGGATGGGCCCCGAGGGTGCATTTCCGGGCTCAAGGACCCCAGACGCCTGGGGCAGACAGCCTGTCCCGAACCACCCCCCACCCCCGCCTCTCTCCCGCGCTCACCTTTCACAGGTGTAGCATTCACAGTGCTCATTCTTTTCACCGAAGAAGCCCTCGCCATAGAAGCACGTCACCTCATCCCCTGGCTCGATGTCCCGGAGCACCTTCACGCAGGCTGCGTTCCCATCTGCGGGCACAAACTGAGGGCCAAGCCTACTCAGTGCCAGGACCTGGGCCCAGGGGCCGACTGACCCATTCCCCATGCCTGGCCGGGCACCCGGGCCAAGTGTCCTCTCCTGTAATGGGGCAACAGCTGAGCCCCAAAAAGTGCCATTCCAAGGCGGCTGCCTTGCCCAGGGCCTCTCCTTTGCCTGTAGCCCCTAGACAGTCCACCCACTGGCTGGTTTCCACCCCTCCCTGCAGGAGGATGATCTAATCTGACCTTCTGGCAGTGTGCAGTGCCAGCAGTGGTGACCACTCCCTCCGGCCTCTGTGGTCTCAAGCCAAGCCCCACCTCCTCTGCCACACCCAAGCCCCTCCCCTCCTCAGCTGCCTGCTCACCGCCTGGGCCTTGGCAGCCGAGGTCCAAGCTCTGCCTGCAAGGCCACCTCCTATTCTGCCTCCACTCCGCAGCCCAATCCAAGTGTGCTCTGGCCCTGCCTTTAGGATCATTCACCCAGGTGCTGTTCCACAGGCTCCTCCCGGGCCCTGCACAGCCACACCTCCCTCCTTGTTTCCTGCCTAGGAGGGGGCATGACCACTATCCACCCAAGTGTCCATCTACCCATCTGCTCAAGCCTGACACTTGCCTGGGAGTGGCCTTGCCACCTGCCTACCTGATGGCCCCCAGCGCAACCAGCCACTGCCTCGTGAGTGTGCCACCTCCTGCATCCTCGTCTTCCTCCCATCCCTGAGACCCCTATGGGGTTAGCCCCTCATCACCTGTTTGTGGCCACCCTGCCTCCGGCCTCTCCCCTTCCTACCAAGCCTCCTTCACCTGGGCCTCCAGGGTGATGTAAAAACCAAGCCTCCCATTATACACCCTGGGGGTAGTATGTGGCATCCTGGCCCAGGCCCTAAGGCCTTGCTGCCCAACCGAAGCCGTCACTGGGCACCCCCAGCCCTCTGGTGTGCCATGTCCTGCTATATGCCCTCCTTTGCCCCCAATTTCTCCCAGGGAAATTCTGCTCCTTCATCAATGCCCAGCATGGCATCGCTTCTGTGAAGCCAGATGGATCCGGATCAATGTCGAGCTGGCCGCCCTCTCCTGTGCTAAGGTAACTGGTGCAACTCGCCCTGCAGAGCATCTCCGAGGGCTGCCTTTTGACGCCATCCCCACAGTGTCTGTGGGTGGTGCCAGACCAGGGCCCGACTTCGCTGTCCAAAACCCTCCGGCACACTTGCCCAGCCTGCAGAGCCCCTGGGCAGATCCTCAGCGGCCCCTTCTGAGACGAGGACCCATGGCCAGGGCAGCATAGCCAGGACCCCACCTCAGTTATGACTTTGGAGCCAAAGACCTGGATCCCCTTGTAATGCCTCCCAGGGTGCCCCACCGAGTTCTGCGCTCCAGAGGGTGCCCGCTCAGTCCCTTCCTGGAGCCGACCCTCCTCACTCCTTCCACTTCCCAGCTACAGGACAACAAGCATCATCTCCTCAGTCTGTCTGGACAACCATCCTGAGTCCTGGGCCCGGGGCTCCCTGGCCTTCCTGCTCTTGCCACCACAGCGGCCTGCGTTGTTCCCTGCAAAGCTGGGGGCCCCCAGCACAGGGCCCTGCCTCCCTGTCCCCACACTCCCTGCTCAAACTGGCACAGCTCCCAGCTTGGTTTTCAAAGAAGAAAGATGGCCAGCAGCTGGCAGCCAGGGTTCCAGTGTGACTGCACAAAAAGCCAGGCACCAGTGGCCAAGCTGGAGCCCCTTCCTCCTTTGCAGCAGCCTTGTGACCAAACACCCGTTCTGACCCTTCCAGGGCCAGTGGGAAGCCATGGAGATATGGGACAGCGTTTGGCTCTTGACTGACCAAAAGCCTCCTGCCCTGGGCCACAGGTACCTTCCTTCCCGAAGGCCCACTCCTCCCGAGTCCCAGGGTCTCACCTTGCAGTTGGGTTTGCAGTCTGAATCCAGTCAGGGCAAGAGAGAGAAGAGAGATGGGTGAGCTCCGTGGCCCAGTCACAGAGCCCTCCCACTACACCCCTGAGCCCCGCCTGGCCCCACTCATCCTGCCCATCCACCTGCCTGCCCCTCACCATGGTTGATGAAGGCGGCAGGGCCCAGCCACAGCTGAGCACTCCGCTTGCGGGTAGAGTACATGATGCTGAAGTCATTCTCACCGGCCCTCAGCAGCCCCTCATCTGCCTCCCGCAGCTCTGCAATGCAGCCCACCAGCAGCTCCAGCTTCTCATTCTTCTTCCTGCCAAGAGGCCAGGGGGCAGGGCTGTGAGCAATGCATGGC